AAAGTTTGTTCAAATAAAAGACCTGGGGTCAAAATTGGCCCCGCCCCAGGGTCATTGATTTTCTTTATATGTGTATAGCAAAAGCTTAAAAAATCTTCTTTGAAAAAACCCAAATAGCTAGAGTTTAGATATTAAGCATGAAACATCTTCTAGGAAGTGTCTACAAAGTTTGTTCAAATAAAAGCCCTGGGGTCAAAAACTGGCCCGGCCCCAGGGGTGTCATTGTTTTTAACTACATGTGTATAGTAAAAACTTTAAAAAAATCTTCTTTAAAAAAGCCCAATGAGCTAGAGCTTAGATGTTTAGCATGAAACATCTTCTTATGGGTGTCTACCGAGTTTGTGCAATATAAAAGCCCTTGGGTTAAATTGGCCCTGCAACGTTGGGGGGCCTATATACAGGTGAGCGACCTCAGGGCCATCATGGCCCTCTTGTTTGGCAGAGTTATGTCTCTTTCACTTTGAAAATAATATAGATACATCTTAGGAATAAGCAGTTTAAGTTGGAATTTGGTCGTTGTTCAATGATTTTGGACAAACTTATCTTTCCTGAATGTTGCAAAAATTTTGAACTTTCAGTTTCAGCACTCATACTTTTGTGGAAATGTATATAGCCATTATTTTGGCTACAAATATGCAATATGCTATTTTCAAAAGGTTAAGACTGAAAACTAATTTCAGTGCCTTGAACATTGTATAAAAATGGTTTGTGTTAACATTGAAAAGTTTTAAGGGCTTTGAACATAGAATGAAAAAAATAATTTGTGCAAACAAATTTGGAACTAAATATTATAACATTTGAAATTTTGGCTGCATGCGGGGGCATCCGTGGCATGATAACACATTTCTAGTTTTTCAATATTATCAGTGGCGGAGAGGGTGCCTTTATGTGTTTAGGAGGCATCAGAATTGCAGCCACTGATTAACCCGGCATGATCAGTGATCATAAGAGATGACTAAATGGGTTTCAATAACCAAAGTCTATACATTTCTTAGTTCCAGCAGATGGGATGTTGCTGACCCCTTGTTCTGCTTTAAGTTTGTAACACCCAAGGTGGCCAAAATCATCTTTCCTGTTTTGGCACCATTATGACCTCATAATTAAACTTGGTTGGCTCTATGCAAAACCAAACAAAAATCATGGAAATCAGGTGACTATCCCAGAGCCTTCCCATGCAGAGTTGATTTATGTCCTGGTAAAAAATAAAACATCATCAGTAGTTAATAGACCTGTAGCATATACATTGGCTCTTTATGTGAAAAAAAAAAAATGATCTTGCTTAAAATAAATGGGCGTTTAAATAAATAAATAAATTAGCCAAGTTTTCATGCTTGGATTTTAATGAATTTCAGCAATCTGTAAAATGATTTTTTACAAATATACATGTACATTGACTGCTATGTGTATGTATAATAAATACTGACACATCCTGTATCTTATAATTTTGAAACTCTGTTTAAAACTTCTGACAGCATTTTGTATGATAAATGGATTTCCATGACAGGATTTCTCAAATTTATTTTCAAAATAAAGAACAGTTTCATAAACATCTGCCGACTTTTAAACTTCTATGAATCATAGGGTAAAAGTAAATCACGAAATTTTCATAAACTTTACAAAAATATAAATATTACATTGATAAAACTTGTCTCAATGCGTGTCAGTGGTAAAGATATGTTTAGTTTGAAATGTTTTTTTGATAATCAAGATAAAATTCCACACTGTTAACTGCTTGATTTTAGTTTCAGAGTCTTTAACATCATAAAAATAATATTATCAACTTGCTGAAGTTATGAGTTTTTGAATGGGCAAGATACTTTCTTTAATCAGAGTTTTTTTAAGAAAATTACTTTTGTGATGTAATGGCAATTCCGTGGATGGCTGTACTTTTTTGGCCATGTAAAGATGTTTTAAAATTATCACACATATAAGCTGTCTTCAGAGTAGTAAGCATGTAAGGCAGAGGGTTACCAGTTATGATCCTTATGTTAGCAATTAATAAAAGACAATTGTCTGTGAAGTCTGTGCTCTCCCAAATCTCTGCTGGCTAGCACTAAATCAGTCTCACTGCGTAAACTCTCTCACCCTTGAACTTTGTCAACTTTATTAAATACTGTTAAGTTTATTACTGCGTTCGTTAGGGATTTCTTAAACTTTCAATTATATGTTTCATATCATCATCCCCATGATAAGGTTCATAACTGTTGTACCAATATTCCCAGAATTATTTCCCCCTTGAACTCAGAAGTTTTCATTAGTTTTGTTATTTTGTTTTTATTTTCTATTTAAACTTCATACATATGTTTCATATCTCTGTGATAAGATTTGTAACTCTAGCGCCAATATTCCCAGAATTATCTCCCCCTTGAACTTGCTTTTTACTTTACTAACTTTTTATGCCCCCGGGCATATAGTAATTGAACCGTCCATCCGTCCGTCTGTCCGTACGAGGTTAACCTAGAACGGCAAGTTGGATTTTTCTTAAGTTGCATATGTACCAGATGGCTTTCATAATTTTAACACTTACTAACCATACAAAGATATAGTGAGCTGGGCAAGTTACACATAACTGATGGTTCCCCATTTTGCACCAACGCCTTATAAGGCCCTTTCTCAGCACTTAAGTAAAATGAATAATGGTTACCATATAAACGGCAAGTTGAAAATACTATACTAATGGCTTTATAATTTCCACACTACTTATCATACAAAGTACATGATATTGACAAGTTATATAACTGTGTCATCCATATTTCCAGTTATTTCCCTTTTTTCACTTTGAAAATAGGGCCTTGTCTGGTTAACCTATTTCAGCAAGTTGGATTTATCTTAAATTTCTCCCAATTGCTTATTTCTTTAATGATATCTTTCATATTTAGTAGGTGGATACCTTTGATGGTCCTCTAATTTTTTGTGGAGTAAGCGGTCTCTAGGGTCAAGGTCAAGGTCACTGGTTTAAAAAATAAATATAAACATTTTGCTCATACAGCCTTTATTCTTTGTTTGATGTCTTAGTTTAATACAAACATGCCAAGGGAGGTCCTCCTTCTTTGGGTGTAGTAAGGGGTCATTAGATTTTTACATTTTTACAGGTGTATTAACCTTATTCTATAGACAGATGTTATTCATAATTGATAGAAACATAAAATTTGATGGAGTTAGTGGTCGGTTGGGTCAAGGTCACCAGTGCTAAAAATAGATTTTTTACACTTTTGCCCATACAGCTTTTATTTATTGACAGATGTATTTCATATTTGGTAGGAAGATAACTTGCATGGTATTCTTCCTTTGGATGGAGTAAGGGGTCAGTTGGGTCATGGTCACCAGTGCTAAAAATAGATTTGTACACTTTTGCCCATACAGCCTTTATTTATTGACAGATGTATTTCATATTTGGTAGGAAGATAACTTACATGGTATTCTTCCTTTGGATAGAGTTAGGGGTAAGTTTTGGTCAAGGTCACCAGTGCTCAAAATAGATTTTTACACTTTTGCCCATACAGCCTTTATTTAATTACAGCTGTATTTCATATTTGGTAGGAAGATAACTTGCATGAAGTTGAATATTTTTCAACTTCACAAGTCAGAGCAATGACTAAATGGCAACTTATATTTTTCACAATTACAAAATACCATGACTTTGTCAAGCTATATAACTTGTGTTTACAATTTTTTGGCAATTTTTCTGTCCATAACTGAGTGAATGGGTAAACATTTTTTGAAATTTGCTACTGACAAGAATCTGAGCCGGGGGCATTTGTGTTTAACAAACAGGTTCTTGTTTATTTATTGAGCATATTTCTTTTGAAACTTCAAACATGAAATTAAAAATTTCTCAAATAATAAGTTTATTAAGTAATATAAATCAAAGGAAAGTCAAATGGTAAGGGAATTTTTAAGTGAGTGTTATGAGATTTAGTTGATTTTAATTGCAAAAGAAAATCTGTAAACATATTATTCCAAGGAGAAATTATTTTTTACCAGATTTGCGTCATAACTGATCACTTGTGTGATAAGACAAATTGCTTTATTGCAGAAACAATGTGAAAAAGTCTGGAACATGTTCTCTTTGAAAGTTATATCTTTTTTTCTAATCAAATGGGCCATTATTTATGATGTCAGAATCTTGGTACAATGTAACTGGAATGTGACTTTTTATCAAAGTTCCATTCATATGGTACATTAAGTTCATCAAATGTTTTGCTAAAACTTATGTTCTTGAAAAAAAAACAACAGAATTTTATATATATATTTTAAATTGAATGAACTATCATTTTGATGGTATAAAAGGAAAATCAACTAAATTGTTAAAAATTTATTTTTACTTTTTTTATCGATTTTGATAAGTATTTAAAGAATTATATTGTTTATAAGCTTTTTAGTGTCCATAGTTAGAATGAACTGTCCATGTTACTTGTATCAAGCCAGGCAATCTTTCACATCTATACCAACAGACAATATGCAATTATCCTTTTGGTGACTAATCATTATAAACATTCTAATATTGAAGTTCTTGAAAAACAACTCATTGAATTAGACAAATTGTCTGACCCACAAATTTTGAGCAAACTTCACAGGATTATCCTTAGATTGCGCCATATAAAAGTTATATAAATGGCATAAGTATGTCACAAAATTAAATAATACACTTTAAAAATGACATCTTCTGTTTAAAGTATGCAGCTGAGGTAAAAAAGTCTTGTTTTTTTTAAATTCAAATAAAGCAAAGAACATATAGTATAAGCAATTTTGAAGCAAGGGAAGGAATAAAATGATATAAATGTTTGATTAGATATGGAAGAGTTTCTTCCCTTTGTGTGTCAATGAAAATTAATATTAAATTGTTCTCAAAAATACATTTAATTACATGTAAAGTTAAAATAAAGCAGGTGGTAATGTCTGTAATTATGGTGGTATAACACTGTCTGAATCATCAACAACTGTATATATATATATAGCAGCTATAGTTAAAGGTTTTCTATTTAATTTTTTGTTTTCAGATGTATATGTAAACCAGGATACACTGGCTCTGGACTTTATTGTAAGGAGATTGATCCATGTCAAGAATCATACAGGGGAGGGTGTCATCTTCAGGTAAAATTTTCACTGTCAGTCTTGTAATGAAATATTGTTTGTTTAGCACTTATAATAGACCAACCCAAATCTTCCATGTTCTGTTTTTAATAAGTTATATATAAAGACATATTGATTGTTTTACTTGCCAATAGGAACTTCCTTGCCTTCTTTTGCTTGGGGACCATATGTTGCTTTCCATGGAATGGCAGGAACATGTGTCATTGAAGTTCATACTGCCTGATATGTGAACATATCATCTGATTGAAAGAAAAATACCATCTATATGTTTGAAATTTTGCTTTAAGCCTGTGCTAGGGGGCGTGGACAGTAGCTTGCATCTTTCTAGTACCTGTCCATGAACAAGCTCGTCAAACTAGAGCCTGCCAATATTTTTCAATTTTGGCTGTTTTCAAGGTCTTCTATTTCGTCTCTAAATGTTATTACTAGATGACTAATGAATCTAATATTTTACTAAGAAAAGTTGATATAGAGTCAATCGATACTTGATTGATAATAACCAAGTTTTTCTGATGATTGGTGGGTGTTCTGTGACATGTTTGCAAAAACAAACATCAAAGAATGTGTACTTTTGCAGCTTTTTTTTAAGGGTTGGCCAAGCATATTTCAAAGGTTTTCTGTTGATGGAGCGAGGATATTTGACTGCAATATAAAGTGTCATAAATTGAAATATATCGCCTCATATTATCAGGAATAGTGCTGGATAGAGAAACAACCCTGAAAGTTTTTTAAAAATCTTGAATTTAATATGGCTTGGCATTTCCTTGGATTAATGTGAGATCATTGATGAGTAAATTTAACTCAAACCAAATGCAAGTTTCAGATTAAGACAAGTGGCCAAGTGGTTAAAACTATCTTCAAATTACTTACCACCATTGTGTGTTTAAATCACCCTTCAGCTTTTGAATTTAGATGTGAGGAAAGCTATCAGCGCCTTGAAATGGTTAGTAATTTAACTATTTGGGAGCTTGGTTCCTGTTTAACAGTCATAGGTGGAGAAGTTGCTAATTGTGATCTTTACTAGTGTTGTTGGTTTAACAAACTAAAAGATAATAAGAGAAAAAAGTGAATCAAAAATACTTTTTAGTTATAAAACCTGACAATAACATGGCTAATCAACGAACTCTTTATCTCACTATAAGGCTCATGTTGAAAGACGTGCCAGGGACAGGAATGTACATGGTAATGAAGGTATGGACAGGGGTGGTAAGAATTGTACTTGGAACACAGACGAGTGTTAGTAAAATGTAGACGCTGTCATGATAGATCTGAATGATATACCAACTACTCCTGGAAAGGTATGATAACAGTCTGTTTATTTAAAAAAGCAAGTTTTAACTGTTACATGTAGATGAAGTAAGTCTACCCGACTAGCTTACAAACCATGGGTGGTTCTTAGAACTCAGATGCCTGCTTGTGCCTGAAATTATGCCTGTATGAACAGAGCAATATTAAGTCTTCTGTAACCTGTGAAGCTGAAAAGTTGCCATTTGACTTTTTGGATGTAAGTAAGGATGAAAAAAAAATAAAACCAAAAGGGAAAAAAAAATAACCACCCGACTTTTTTTAATTAAATAAGCACCATAGTTATGCTGTAATTTGATATTAAACACTTTTTACTCACGACACAACATTAGTGACTATGGTTTAATAATTTTTGAGCATATAATTATTATTTAAGAATTGAAGAATGGATAAATAGAATGTTTGTTTTTCTAGCAGATTTGTGTGTGTAGAGAGGCTGTTATTTGGGAATGGAGACATACTGTTTGTAGTAAAAATAGGGATGTGAAGGTTGACAAATTGGTGGCTTTTATTCATTTGGTAAGAAAGTTAACCAAATGATTATGATGATGTAAAGAGGGAATTTATTTTTTCCAGAAGTGGGAATGGTTTAAGATAATTTTATTTGGCAGAGCTTTTTTGGTCATCATAATGTGGTCTATAACTTTTTATTTATAATGTGCTGTTAAAAAGTTAATCAGAGGAAAAATTGTGATTTGATTATCTTGAGTGAATACTTATGACATAGAATGCCTTGTTTACTTGTAGTTACACTATTGTTGGTAAATGGACATTCCTCTGTTAAATCTGTCCCATTTTATGCATAATTGTAATTGTCATGATATAATGCATGTCTTAATGTTGTCCTTGATAGATGATGATGGTGATTATGGAAAGTGGTGGTGGTGATGAAGATGAGAGTGGAATGTTGATGGTGGTGGTGGGTGGTGATGTATGATATTTATTGAGGATGAAAGTGAATGCATGATGTGGTGTTGGTGGTAGTACTGGTGGTGGTGAGGATGAAATGATAAGTGTTAGGATGAAATGATGATGTGTTTGATTATATGTAGAAATTATGATGATAAGAAAAATCGTATGATTTAAGAGTAGTCGTAGTCATTACAGGCTGCCCAACACTGCTCCAAAATGTCTATAACTTCGATTACCGACCGTCTTGCTTGAAATCAGTTCTGTAATCTCATAATGCTAGTTATGTCATGTTCAAAAAGCATATAGCACTCCAAGGACATCTTGAAATCTTTCTTACAATTTATCTTTTAGAATTCCTGCAGATGAATCTAATTGCTCATAATACACTGCATTAATTTTCATCACAAAAGGATACATATAAGAACCTGTAGGATTTTATTTTCTTGAAGATTTTTTCCTTCTATTATCTTTAGGCTAATATCAGTCACGTGATGCGCTCTGAAATACTTATAGAAATTGTACTGCCTAATAGACGCGTTGATTATGTTGGAAATTGGTATATGTTGCCATGGTAATATTATAAAAGAAATAGAAAAACATCCAAAACTGAGATTGATGGCAAATGTTATAAGGGTAAGCTAAATGTTATAATTAAATTTGTATATATTGATTAATAAGTTAGAAGCTAGAATTGTAAGCTCTTCAGATGAGATGTAAAAGGACAGGGGGGAAAAGTACAAAATGATTTTATCATACATTAAAGTATTTATGATTATTAAATATTCATATAAGTGTAAGGCCCGCCTACTTTGGTTGATTATTAATCAGATGTCCACTACAAAGTATGAGCATGGAAGCATGAACAGAGTCATATTAAACTTCAATATAATCATGGATTTTTAGCGTCACACTGTCACAAGTAAGTGACCAAGGTGAGCTTTTCTGTGATCTAGCAATTTGTCTGGCTCTGTCCAGTCCATGAAACTTTGCTCTTAACAACATTTCATTCACCAATTTCATCCCAGATTTCACAGGAAATGTTCCTCTGGTGCACCATTGAATTGTTTAAAAGAAATTAATTCCATGTAGAACTCTGGTTGCCATTGCAATTGGAAAAAAAAACTTAAATAGTATTCTTTTAAAAAACAGCTAAAGGACTAGAGGCTAAGAAGTTTGGCATGAAAGCATGCCTACTCTAGTGGGTGTCTATCATGTTTGTTCAAGTGAAAAGCCTGGTCAAAAGTTGGCCCTGTTCCTGGGAGTCATTTGATTTTCGTAAGTCGGAGAGTAAAAAACATTTAAAAATCTTCTTTTAAAAACCAAAAGACTTAGGCTCGTATAAGCCACAAAATCTTCTAATTGGGGTGGTCGAGCCAGTTTGGTTTCAAGTAAAGAGCCCTAAAATTGGCCCTGTCCAAGGGTCATTGATTTTCATTTAGTGTACTATTGTAAAACTTTAAAAAATCTTCTTTTAAGACTGCAAAGAGATAAGCTAGATTAGTTTGCATGAACATTTGTCTAGTAAGGGGGTGTACCAGTTTGATTCCAATTAAAAGGTCCCTGGGTCAAAAAATGTAAAATTGACCGCCCGGGGGGGGAGGGGGGAGTCACTGATTGTGCCTATATTGCTAACATCTTTGGACTGTTGTTTAACTTAGCTATATCAACCAGTTTGCTTCTTTACACATGCTTTGTCAGATACAAATGTGACTATGTGATACCAAGTGTAGATTATATAGTTTTGTGGCTTTTGTTTATTATTTTACAATATATATGTTCTTTTGGTACATGGAGAGTTTTATATCAGGGTGAGCGATTTTCAGGGCGACATTATGGCCCTTTTTATTGGAGAAGATAAGTGATGTTATGTGATAATATGGCAACTGTTTTAACATTGTATACTATGAAAACTTGATGCAGATATCATCCATGATTATTGTCAACATTGTTCATAAAAAAGTATGTTTTGTTGGCACTGTATTCATAATCTGCTCGACTATTGAACTTGTTGTATTCTGATAGCGTTGACGCTTGTGAATCAAGAACTATTAGGATGAAAACTACACGTGTTTGTCACGTATTGATGTGAGGAGGTATTAAATTGATTTGTTCAATAACACAACACAATTCAAACACTGGATTAAACCAGATAATGTTGTCCAACTGCTTAAGTAAGTTTCATTTATTTATTGAGTGAATTTCTTTAAGGTTGTTAATAATTAAAGAAGTCTGTTATCAGTTTAGTGAATTCTATTGTCAGTTTAAAGTCTATTGTAAGTTTCATATTGCATAGATTCATGTACCCTTATAATGTGTCTAAAAGGCCAATATTTTCGTGATTAGCACGTTCTACAGGAAATGTAATGTGATTGTAGGTTAGTGAATTGAAACACTTTTGGTATTCAATTACAAAAAAATTGAAAGAATTTGCAATATGTTTTTGTTTCAGCTACATACATTAGGTTTCATATACCTTGGATAGGTTGCGTTGCATTTCGGGACATTAGAGAAGTTACAGACATGGCTGATGGGTTTTCAATTGTATTATTACTCAAGGAGAGGGATGGGTCATCAAAAGCACAGAAGAATGGTTAATGGCGGTTAATGGATGCATTATCATTCATTATGAATAAATGGTTGTTTATTTTTGTAGTACAATTACCATTTACCTTGAGAAGTTAAGTAATGGCTTTGGGTCAAGTTCCCATTTTTTTTGCATTGTTTGTTATCAATAGATTTATATACGGAGCAATCGATCAGAAATTACTTGATGTGCAGATACTGCTTATGCGGGTTTTGGTGCAAAGGTTAATTATTTTCCAAGGTCCATATGATGTAAGGTAAGTCAATTGTTTATTCTGGACAATGACCATTGAGAATACATGTGTCTAAGAAAGTATTTATCAGTCACAGACATATTTGATATACTTGAAACTCCATGCCTTAAATAATCCACACTGAGGCACTAGTTTAACAGTGGGTGCTGCTCAGCCTTAATAATGCTCGATGGGGCCAGCTGATGTCTGATTGGTGGCCTCTCATTGTTCTAAATGAATGCAGCCATTGTGGGCCAACTGAGTTCTGTTGGATGCCCTGGCTCATGGCCTAGAATAATGCATGATGGGGCACTTGATTCTGCCTTTGGATGCTTCTCATGGTCTAAAATATGCACGATGGGGCAACTGATTCTATTTGTGCATGCTCATCTAAAATAATCGCATGATGGAGCACTGATTCTGTTTGGTGCCTGCTCATGCGTAATAAATATTGCTCCATGGGGCACTGATTCGTTGGATCCTGTCATGTTCCTAACATTATGCATCGAAGGGGGCACTGACTCTGTTTGGGATCTTGTATGCCTGAAATAAGCATGATGGGCGCTTGATCTCTGCTTGGACTCCTGGCCTCATGGCCTAAATATGCATGATGGGAACCGATTTCTGTTTGGGTGCCTGATCATGAGCAAAATAAGCATGACGGGGCCTTGATTCTTTTGGTGCTGCTCATGACTAAATAATGCATGATGGGGCACTGATGTCTGATGTGGGGTGCCCTGCTGCATGCCTAAATAATGCTTGATTGGGCACTGAATTCTGCTTGGATGTCTGCCATGTTATAAAATAATGCCACAAGGGGGCACTGGTTCTGTTTAAGGTGCCTCTCCAGCATATGCCGACGATTTGGGGCTCTGATATGCTGGGTGCTGCTATTGCTATTCAATTGCAGAATGGGGCACTGAGTCTGGTTCGAGTGCTGTCATGCCTAAAGATAATGCACGATGGGGGCACTGATTATGCTTGGGTTTCCTGCTTTCATGCCTAAAATAATGCATGATGGGCACTTGGTTTCGCTTTTGGTGCTTGTCAGTCTAAATAATGCACGATGGGACTGCTTTTGTTCAGGTGCCTGCTCATGTCTAAAATAATGCTAATGGGGCACTGGTTCTGTTTAGGTGCCTGCTTATGCCTAAAATAATGCATGATGGGACACCGGTTATACTTGGGTGCCTGCTCATGCCTATAATAATGCACTGTGGGGCACCGGTTATGCTTTGGTGCCTGCTTTTGCCTTAAATAATTCATAATTGGCAACACGGTTCTTTACTGGGGGCCTGCCTATACCTAAAATATGCATGATGGGGCCACTTGGTAGAAACTATGGGTGCCTGCTCATGCCTAAAATAATGCACGATGGGGCATTTGAGGTCTTCTTCCATCAGTAAAGATGAAAAGTTATGGCATGACCTTCGAAAGTGCTGGCATGATTTAAAATACAACAAACAATAAACTCTATAAGCATTCATTTCAGTGGGTAGGAAAAGTATTAGAGGGATTCCAGTGTTGTATTTTTGGCATGGCTTCTGGAGGATTTTAATGCCCACCAGATGGGAGATATGCGTGCGACTGTGTCCGTCCGAAGTGTCGTACGTCTGTTCCCGTCCGTCGTCGTCCGGTCGCTGTCCGTCGTACGTCCGAATCTTGTAAACGCACTCCTCTTAAACAGGATGGCAGATTGCTTTAAAAGCTTCAGGGATGAACAACCCTTAATGTGTGAATAGTCAGTAATGAAGGAATTTTTGCTGCGACCAAATTTAAACAAAGAATTATGTGCCCTTTTTTGATTTTTCACTAGTATAACTTATGTAAAAGTTTTTGTGAAACGCAACTTCTCTTAAACGTGATGGCAGATTGTTGCTTAAACTTCCAGGGATGAATCCTTAATGTGTGATGGTAGTAAAAGAAGGAATTTTTGGTTGCGACAAATTTAACAGAAAATTATGGCCCTTTGTTGAAATTTTTCACTTATATACATGTAGCATATTTTGTGGAACGCAACTCCTCTTAAACCGGATGGCAGATTTTGCTTAGATTCCAGGGATGAACCAATCCTTAATGTGTACGATGGTAGTAAAGGAAAGGAATTTTGCTGCGACCTAAATTTAAAAGAGTTATGGCCCTTGTTGATTTTTCTACTATGAGTATATGGTAGAAATTTTGTGAGAGCTGCAACTCCTGCTTAAACCGG